TCAGACAGGCCCGGAGCAAAGAGAAGCAAATAACAAACAGCAAATTACATGCCGAAACACTGAATTTGTTTAATGTTCTTTTGCGAGACTGCACGGTCGTTATTTCAAGGCTGGGAAGTCTACAAGAAGCAGCGTTGTGAGGAGTTGGGAGTTGAGACAATTTCTCCAGCAAGCTCCTTAGTGTGATAGAGAAGTGTTGCTGAGTGTTGCTGGAAGAAATTGGGCCACCAAATGTGCGGCGTCAATTTCAGGATCCAACGCCCGATGGAACACCCTGGGCAACACCATCAGCAACGCCACAGGGAACACCAATGGGAACTCCTCCTGCAACGCCTCGGGTTGCTGAGCTGCGCTTCGCCCAATGGAACTTTCAGGATCAGAGTTAGCTACAAAGCTTTCTCATCAGGTAGAACAGGGCGGCCGCATTTTTGTTAGCGGCCTCTGGTGTTTGCTATTTGAGTTCTTGGGCCACTGTTAAAACTAGAAAAGGGTTCATTTAGTATGTGTTCTCATGTTTTCTCAAACCTCATCAATAGTCCATCATTGCAATCATGCCAAGACACTCGTTGCATCGTTGGTTGACTGTGTTTGTTTGCCCAGGTTGAGACCCAAGTTCTACCGTCAACTGATGTTAAAGAGAAGGTGCGGTGATAACTGATAACTCCGCGTTTGTGCGTGCGACGACTCTGCCCTTCTTGCTGAAATAAGAGCTAGACTAGACGATAGGGTGGTTTGAAAGCATTGTGACGGTGACGGCATGGTAAACAGCAGCAGTTCTGTAGATGACATATATTGCCAAAGTCCGCCAAAGTGTTGTTGTTGCCGACCAATGATGAAATGAGGTGATAGTATAGTCGACGAGGCATTACAGAGGATGACAGTTAGAAAATATGATATTTTATTAAGTGAAAACCTAAACATTGATGAATCAAGTGGAATAAATAAGTTCACCTTCTTTCACCCGAAACTTACTTTCGAAAACGCCACTTCAGACTGTTTGGGAGATCCAAAAGAAGAAACGGACGGAGAACGATCCAGTGGAACTCATATTTTTCAAGGATTTTTTTTCGTTTTTTTTTTGGATTTTTTTTCACGTTTAGGCATTAGGTATCTCTGTTGGCTTCTGGTGGCTTCTGGTAGCTTTTGCTAGCTTCTGTTGGCTTTTGCTGGCTTCTGGTGGCTTTTACTGGCTTTTGGTGGCTTTTGTTGGCTTCTGTTGGATTTTGGTGGCTTCTGGTGGCTTCTGGTGGCTTTTGGTGGCTTCTGGTGGCTATTTTGTTGGCTTCTGGTGGCTATTTTGTTGGCTTCTGGTGGCTTTTGGTGGCTTCTGGTAGCTTTTGCTAGCTTCTGTTGGCTTTTGCTGGCTTTTGTTGGCTTCTGGTGGCTTCTGGTAGCTTTTGCTAGCTTCTGGTGGCTTTTGCTGGCTTCTGGTGGCTTTTACTGGCTTTTGGTGGCTTTTGTTGGCTTCTGGTGGCTTCTGGTAGCTTTTGCTAGCTTCTGGTGGCTTTTGCTGGCTTCTGGTGGCTTTTACTGGCTTTTGGTGGCTGTTGCTCGCTTCTGTTGGTTTTTGCTGGCTTCTGTTGGCTTTTGGTGACTTGTGTTGACTTTCGAAGGCTTCTGTTGGCTTTTGTTGCTTTTTGCTTTTGTGGCTGTTCGCTATCCTTGCTTTGCTTATGTGATGCAGGAAGGAAGAAAGGAAGGAGGGAAGGAAGGAAGGAAGGGAAGGGAAGGAAAGAAGGCAGCAAGAAAGGAAGGAAGGAAAGAAGGTGAGCACTTGCAGGTGGCCAGCTTGCAAAGCTGTGCTGCCTGCAGTGGCCAGTGTCGTGAGCACGAAACGCTCGTTTTGGAGGAGTCCTATGTCACTTCTGGGGTCTCGCACGGAGAAACAACTATCATTTTGGAGACACGAGCCTGAGGGAAGGCGCCCACAACAGGACCAGAAAAAAATTCCCCAAAAAAACGGAAAAAATCCTTTAAAAAAAACGCGGCCCGATCCAGTCTCGCTGTCTCCGACATGTTGAAATGAGCGAACAAATAACATGAAGCCAAAGCAACGGGAAAACAGATATGTGAAGTTGTAATGAATATATATATATATAGAACTAGTATAGTTATTGCTTAGAAGGCTGTAGCAAACCTGGTGGACCTGGAGAGGAGACCTTTGGCATTTGGTCAATGTTGGTCCAGTTTACATGGTCTTGTGCAAGGAATCGACCCGAAAAAAGGGCTCGGAGCTTGCCTCAGCAATCGGCATGCTAAGCAAAAACTGGATGAAAAACGAAGATGAGAGCAACGGTTGAATGCAAACACAAGTAAGAATGTACCACAGGATACAAGTAGATTGATACGAGATACTTTGCACCAGCAACTACCAGTCAGCTTCTGGTTCAGACTGTTTTGCTTGCATGATATCAGCATCACCAGATGCTACCGTCTTCAGCCGTGGAGTGTGAGAAGAAGGACCCTGTGCACTGAGGTCGTGACACTGGACTTCGCAGATTACGAGGCGATGGCACAAGATGTTTAGTTCAGATTCATATAATACATGTTCATATCCAGAAGGAAACCTTCTGACTTGCGAGGTGAGTTTGGCCAGTCGTCAAGCTGGCACATCTACGAGCACCTCGAAAGCATTCGAAAGCTATTAAAGTGAAGTGACTGAAGTGCTGTTAAAGCACCTCATGTGCTTTCGGGAAAACTCGGTTCTGAGGCACTGCACCGCGGCAGGTGGGATGGGAGACTGCACCGTGCCAACACTTTCGAGCTTCGCCAAGGCGAATTCGAGTCAAATCTATCTAGGACGGCCGCTTGATGCCGCTTGCTGCCTCGCAAGCCATTTAAGGCAAACATTGACAAAAAAAGCTTTTCACGCTCAATGCATCATGCAAAATAAGGAAGCCAAAGAACGCAAACGTGACTCAACTGTTGCATCATCCTGCCTAAGATAGTTGCTTGACATGGACCCTGGGGATTGGTCAAGAAATGAAAAGACAAAGTCTATCTAAACATGTGTTTATTATTTCTCTTTGAGAGATAGTCTTAGCGCTGCCAGCCTTGATCCGCAGGCGGATTCGTGATTCAATTTTCACGTAGTATTCTCTTTTCGGTCGACGAATGTCCACAGAGGTCATGGATGTGGGTGGCTGCATGACCCTTTTCCCAACCTCAGAAGAGGCAGCGCTCCTCGACCGAAAAGAAGATGTGTCATTCGAGATCTACCCTCCAAGACCTAATAAAACCTAACAGGCCATCCCGACAGGAAAAAGATCTTCGGCTGACAATGTCCATATCAGTGCAAAAAATAAGGCCTCTTGGATCCTTTTGGTTCATTTAACTCTGGATTCTTGAAAGGCTGGATTTGAGAATGCTTCAAAGGAACACACCGTACGGACCTGCTTCCATTTCAGAATTCGTTTGGGACCTGGTTGCAGTTGTGCTGGCTGAAGTTCGGGTTCAAAAAGAATTCTTTTTGCTAAGGAAGACTTTTCAGCAGCGCCTGCTGGTCGCTTGAGAAGATCGAGTCGGGAAGTCTCCAAGGAAGACAGGTTGACATGTTGACCTTGGGTTTCGGATTGATCTCTCAATCTGTTCAAACACGATCGGGAGGATTGAAAGCATTGAGAAGAAGTTAGGGGTTGTTCCAAGACTTCGTATGTCGCCCCGTTTGAGGTTTGCCATCGTGAGATATTACACAGTATCATGGCTATCCAGCAGTTATAACCTGCACCAGTACGCACATCGAATGTGAAACATCATTTGTTCATGTCGTTCTCGATTCTTTCGTTCTCGAGTCCAAGGTCACCAATGAAAAGCTTCGCCTGGACACACAACGATCGAGGCTTGGCTGTTCCCGTTGCCCATCCAATTCTTGGCCCGTTGCCGGAACCCATCAAACCAAATCAACCCACCATACTGGCACTGAATTACGGTACCACTCTGTTCTGTACCACCTATTTCTCTAAGCAATTTGCAGCACACTCGCAGCCATAGGTCCAAGATTGCATATCACGCTTCGGACTCTATTGTGAGATTCATGGCCGAACCGCTGCATTCTCTCCTCTCCCCTCCCTCCTCCATTTTTCCTTTCCATCATAGGCTCTGTGGTGTTCCCTGTTTTTAGATTTGTTCAATATATTGTCATGTACCCGTTCGATGACTTACATGTCTTCCCTTTCTGTATGTTTGGTCAGTTCAGAATATCTTGTCTACCTTCATCTTAGGAGAGCCTTCGTCGCAATTGAAGACTCCGTGCAAAAGACCTTAAACCAGAGAAGTGCACAGCTCAAAGCCTGCAAGCAGGAGGGCGAAGCGATTGCAATTGCACTTGTTTTCGTCTGGCACGGCATCAAATGCGGCTTTTCGAGTCTATCCGGCCTTGAGCAGTTTGAGCCAAAGCTGCCTTCAGGAGCCAGGAACGGATACTGAAGCTGCTTGGCACGAAATCTTCTCAGCGAAGAGGTTCCAGGGAACCAGAACTGGAAGTCATGTTTTCTTTCTTCTAAGAACTATAAGAACCTCTGAACTGAAATTCAATCAGGAAGACCTTGAATTCAGCTTTCAGCTTTAAAGACATGGCGCCTGTTCGAAGATCTTCAAAGAAACCCAAGCTCTTTTTCCAGAGGCTCCGCCACCTCCGCCCTGTGTTGGAGAGCTCAGGGTTTCGCAGCAACTCCGGATGAAAATCCAATGCACAACAAGACCATGACCTTCATGTTTGATGCGTTCCGTTTCAATCCATGTCGTTCGTTCCCTTTGCTATTTTCATATTTCCCAGGTGCCTTGTTTATTCATTTATTCTACTTTACTGTATGCGTCTAGGACCTAAGACTTTTGTGCTTGAAGTTTGCAGGTCAGGAGAAGGAAATGAATTTGATAAGAGACTAGCCAAACCGATTTGAGCAAAGCAAAAACACCGCCAGAAAGGAAGATGTTGCCGGACCGCAGTTGGCCAAGCCAAGTGAGTTGTACAGCTGGGCGGGATGTCCACCTGACTTTTTTACATGGTCGAAGGCAGCCAGGGCAATGAGACCGCAAAGGACAGGGTAAAGATGGAGACAGTGGAGACGGAAATGGATCAGAAGGATCAGCATGATTCTGAGGATGAAAAGGTCATCCAAGATGATCCTCCTCTTCAAGGTGACAAAGATGCCTAGCAGTGCAGCATGTGTTGGTTTCTTTTTTCTCTTCTCCAGAGTTGTCTTTGAGAGAAAGTTTCTTTGTACAACTCATGTTTGAGTCAAGTTGTCAAGCAGCTTACCAAGCCGCGGTGTGTTTGTGCTTGTCGAGCAATGCTGGCTTTTGTTTCTGTAAGGAAATCGGAGTGGTTGAGACATATTTTCCTGGAAATTTTTCCAGAGCAGCCAGTCAATCAAGAACATCGCTCACAGAGCGGTCAGACCGTTTTTCCATGCTCTCGGTACAACCAGAGGGGCCGTCGGCTTCGCATACCATGAGGGATGTCCTGCCACCGCTGTTGGTCATTTTCGTGTGCATCATTGCTGCCTTTCTGGGTTTTGTGGTGGCTGGACTCCATGATATGATCAAGTACGTTGGTTGCCCTCTTGGGGTCAATGGTTGCAATAGCTTCTCAGGTGAAGCTTATGAGAAGAAGGGCTACATCCTACCCAGAGCACTCACCGATCTTCCAGAGGATCTCATCTACATCGTAGCGGGCATGTTTTGCCTTTTCATCATCGGCCTGATCGTTGACTTAGCGCCTGACAATTATGGAAAGCAAGTTCTGGGAGGTGGAACAGTGCAATCATTGCTGGCAGTTGCTGCGGGAATTCCGATACCCTTCAAATGCGCAGTCCTACGTGTGGTTATCACTGCAATCTATTTCGTTGGAGGAGGTACCATGGGTGGAGATGGCCCAACCATCCAAGTTTGCACCTCTTTGTCGTGCATGATTGGTTGGGTTTGTGCCTTATTTGCAATTTGCAATTTGGTTGGGTTTGGCCCTGCCCCCTTAATTAAGTAGTAAGTAAGGGAGTAAGCTTGGACGCTCCTAGTTCACTCCCGAACTAATGATTTGATTTCTAGATCTTTATGGAAACTGGCATGACGTTCATTGCCGTTTCGATGCAAAGCAGGGTGGGAAAATCTGTATGTTCATATATTATCCCTAAACGCCAAGTTGTTTGAGTACTCTGCAACTACTTGACACTGACCAGGTGGGATACGTGCAGCGCGAACACAGCCTTCTTGGAGATGTTTAAGTTGCTTTCAGTTTTAGTGGGAGGCGGATGTGTTGCAGAGCCTGTCAGAAAACATGGATTCTACCGGCACTGAAGGTCTCTCCTGGCGTCCTTGGGATTTTGCTGCGGCTTTGCAGCCAGCTTCAATGCTCCATTGTCAGGCGGGGTTTTCCCAAGAAGATAGACTGGTTGTTGCGCGCTTTCTCGTGCAATGAACGTGTTCCTCAAAAGAGAAACACTGGGAATCGTTTCACCTGCAGTAACATTTTCTAAAGCTTTCTAGTATGTCTTTGAAGCTTCTTAGTAACAATAGAACTTTCTAGTAACTAGAAGCTTCCTTAGGAATCGCTTCACCTGCGAATCGTTTCACCTGTAGTAACAATATATAAAGCTTTCTAGTATATCTTTGAAGCTTCTTAGTAACCATAAAGCTTTCTGGTAACTAAAAGCTTCCTTGGGAATCGTTTTACCTGTAGTAACAATATATAAAGCTTTCATGTCTTTGAAGCTTCTTAGTAACCGTAAAGTTTTCTGGTAACTAGAAGCTTCCGTGGGAATCTTTTCACTGGGAATCGTTTTACCTGTAGTAACAATATATAAAGCTGTCTAGTATGTCTTTGAAGCTTCTTAGTAACCATAATGCTTCCTTGTATCTAAAAGCTTCCTTGGGAATCGTTTCATCTGTAGTAGCAATATGTCAAGCTTTCTAGTATGTTTTTGAAGAAGCTATGCCTGCCTGGGTTTCTGAATCTATGAAACCTGGTGCTGGCCATGTCGCGCGCGCCCGGTACTCGCGTTGGGGGGAGCGCCCGCGCAGAGCGGCAGCTGCAGCACCTACTGCTTCTGCCGCATTCACCAGGGCTTGCAATGTGCCTATGTTTTCTGACCAGGAGGATGTCGACATGGACAGGGCTCCCGCTCCAGATGCAGGCCGCTTCTTTTGCCCTCTGCCCAGCTGTGTGGCCCATAGACCCTCTGGACATGCTGGATGGGAGAGCTTCGCAGGCTTGAAAGCGCACATGGATGCTCACCAACTCGGTGTTCTTCCGGGTGCTCCACCGGTGGACTGGCTCCGGGCTCGCCAACTTGTCGGCTGTCCCGAGTCTTCTCGTCTCGTCAGTCGTCGATGCAATGGTGGAGTTCATCGAACTCGCATGGCCGCGCGGCTGGTCACACAACAGCCACCCCCTTGCTGCTGATGGCCGAGGAGTGGATGCTGCCTTGCTCGCTTCTCTGCCCTCCCTGGACGAGATCTTCGCGGCTCCGGTAGCTACTCGGGACTTCGTGGCGGCTGGGCTACTGCCGATGGCTCAGAAGGAATTTCTCCGTTGTGTAGCCAACGTTCTACAACACAACTCCACTGCAGATTGGGGCAGGACAGTCTGCGGCACGGAATTGCCGCAAAGCAGATTGCTCTCCTACAGCGACTACCCCAACTGCCGGATTTACAGGTCGGGTATTACCTGATGCGCTGGTCATGCGCGGCAGGGCGAATGCAGTACCTGTCCCGCACCACTCCCAGTCGACTATGTCGCCCTGCGTTGGAAGCTTTTGATGCGCCTGTATGAGACAGCTTCCGTACGATGACCGGCTTCACCCCTGATGCCCTGGCATGGGAGCAGGCTACCTTGCCTGCCTCCTCTGGTGGTTTGGGGCTACGGTCTTCCTTGGCTGTTGCTGATGCTGCCTGGATTGGATCCCGCAATGCCACCTTAGAACGCTGTGCTGACCTCTGGCCTGCGTTTGGTTGGGATGGTGGTGTTCCTGGTAGCAATTTACACGCTGCTCTGGAGCACTGCCGCACTCGCCTGGCTGATGCTGGCGTGCTCTATCCGAACTCAGCAGTAAGTTGACGCAGAGCTCTCTTAGTACCCACTTGGTACCGCGCAGACTCATGGCTGGCTCGCGCGCGCAAGCAGTGATGATGTCTGTCGGCTACACGCATACTCGACCGATGGTGCCGACGCAGCTTTGGGCCTAGTTCCTTTACATGCGCTTGACACATTTCTTTCTAGGGATGATTTTCTTGCTTTGGTAGGAGGTCACCTGCGAGTCGACGTGTGTGCCGGGGGAGGCCCTTGCGGCTACTGCGGTCGAGTCCTTGATTGTAAGGGTCGGCGCGCGCTGAGTTGCACTGGCAGTGGCGACAGTGTGGTTGTTCACAATGCTGCGCGATATCGCGGGCACAAGTTCGCCCTCAGTTGGAGGCCCTGGCCTTCTGCCAGGTCGCCGTCGACCGGCTGACATTTTTGCCCGCGGAGCTGCAGGCCTTGTTCCACGACTCCCTGATGGTTTTCGACCGCATGGTTTGGCGCCCCTTGCCTTAGATGTCGCGGTCGTGAACGCCCTAGGGGAAAGCCATTGGTATGAGACGCGTCGACGCAGCGGGGCAGCCTCTACTGGCTACGCTGCTCACAAACGGGCACGAAATCAGACAGCTACTGCGCGCGAAGGCCGCGCCGAGGAAACCCGAGCTTTCCTCCACCGCTTGTGTGGTCTCGTTGCCGTGAAGGTTGCAGCCCAGACACTGTGAAGAACCGACTCCATGATCAATTGGCCGTGCTGCTGGCCCGAGCTGGTGGGCGAGCACTGCGGCGGCGGCGGGTGGTGCCGCATGTTGAGGCCGGTGTCAAGAACGCCGCTGGCGAGTTGCTGCTGGAAGCTTGAGTTGGTGGCCCGCAAGCGTGGGCGCAGCTCTGGCACACCAATGCCATATGCTGTCAAGAACTCTGCGTCGGGAACAGGTTACACACTCGGCAGGGAAGACCCTACGCTGTGCATTGGTGACATGTTGGAATCTATCACCACTGGTCTCCGCTTAACTTTCTGTTCCATGCTGGGCAAGCCTTCTTGCTCGTGAGTTATGCTACCCGATCCAGTGAGACGCGACCTTTGAAGACTGTCGCTTCTCCTGTACAGACAGCTCCTGGCATTGTTCCCTATCCAGGTTTCACTGCTGTGTTTCACTATGGTTTGTAACTTGTATAGCTCCGGCCTTCGGACCTAGTCCTGATTGACAGAGCTGCCTGGTAATGCCCTCAGGTAGTTCAATTTTATTGTTTGCTGTGGGGCTAGCCAATCTTGAAGCTTCTTGGTTACCATAAAGTTCTCTGGCAACTAGAAGTTTCCTTGGGAGAATCGCTTCACCTGTAATAACAATAAAGCTTTCTAGTATGTCGTTGAAGCTTCTTAGTAGCCATAAAGCTTTCAGGTAACTAAAAGCTACCTTGGGAATCGTTTCACCTGTAGTAACAATAAAGCTTTCTAGTATGTGTTACAACATATAAAGCTCTTTAGTATGTCTTTGAAGCTTCTCAGCAACCATAAAGCTTTCTGGTCACTAGAAGCTGCCTTGGGGATCGTTTCACCTGCGGTAACAAAATATCAAGCTTTCTAGTATGCCTTCGAATCTTCGTAGTAACCATAAAATTTTATATGGTAACTAGAAAGCTTCCTCGCGAAACGTTTCACTTGTAGTTAGATTTTATAGAGTTTGCTAATATGTCTTTGACGTTTCTGAGTAACCATACAGCTTTCTAGTATGTCTTTGAAGCTTCCTAGTCACCATAAAGCTTTCTGGTCACTAGAAGCTGCCTTCCTTGGGAATCGTTTGACCTGTAGTAACACTTAAGCTTTCTAGTATGTCTTCCACGCTTCTTAGTAACCGTAAAGCTTTCGGGAAACTAGAAGGTTCCTTGGGAATCGTTTCACCCGTAGTAACAATAAAGCTTTCTGTTAACTAGAAGCTTCCTTGGGAATCGTTTCACCTGTAGTAACAATAAAGCTTTCTGGTAACTAGAAGCTTCCTAGGGAATCGTTTCGCCTGCGGAAACAATAAAGCTTTCTAGTATGCCTGTGAAGCTTCTTAGTAGCCATAAAGCTCTCTGGTAACTAGAAGCTTCCTTGGGAATCGTTTCACCTGTAGTAACAATATACAAAGCTGTGTAGTATGTCTTCGAAGCTGCTTAGTAACCATAAAGCTTTGTGGTAACTAGAAGCTTCCTTTGGAATCGTTTCACCTGTAGTAACAATAAAGCTTTCTAGTATGCCTGACGCTTCTTAGTAACCATAAAGTCTTCTAGTATGTCTTTGAAGCTTCGTAACAATAAAGTTTTCTGGTAACTGGAAGTTTCCTTGGGAATCGTTTCACCTGTAGTGATTATGATGTTTTCTAGTGTGTCTTTGAAACTTCTTAGTAACCATAAAGTTTTCTGGTAACTAGAAGCTTCCCTGGGAATCGTTTCACCTGTATTAAAAATAATGTTTTCCAGTATGTCTTTGAAGTTTCTTAGTAACCATAAAGCTTTCTAGTTATTCTGCCTCTGCAGCTGGAATATTGGAGTCCTTTTTCGTGTCGACATCATCTTCTCTGGCTTGTTCATCAAGCACGAAGCCATGCGAAGCTGTTTTGTGCTGCACTGCATGCTGCATGTAGCATGTTTCCAGCTTGCCAGGCATTCTGTTTGCCATGGAAGAGTTGCAGCACGTCTCTTCACGTTTGACGACGCGGGTCCTGTGCATGATCCTCATCGGCTCCATTGTGTCGACATCTGTGATGCGATCATTCTTGGGGAACAAGGCTGGGAATGATAGAGTGAGACAACCGACCACTTGACAAGAACTGTTCAAGGATGATCATGCAACTGAAACGATGAACGTTGTCCAGTGACAGATTTGAGACAAACTCCAAGATATGTGAAAAGTCTCAAGAGGGCAGAAATGTAAGCATTTGGGCTTGGCGTTTATGGAGGTTCTCTTTCTCGCTTCGCATCCTGACAATCTTGAAGAGATGGTCATTGGAGGATCCGTTGATTCAATCTACGGTCAGCGCATGTCCGTCGACTAAGAAGTATGTTTCCTGTTCATGTCATTCATTTCATTCTGTGCTTAAACCAGCATAATTGTGTTTTTTTGTTTTGCGTTCAACCCAATGGTATAATTATTCAGCACTTTTGTGAATTTGATTGACTATATTGGCGTTCATCCAAGGTGGATGCTAATCTCTCTATTGATTGGCGTTATGGCATCTATAGTGGGCTATCTCTTTAGCATTGCATTCAAGTGGACTCACATAGTCCTTACAAAGGTCACCCAGACGACAGCAGTTCGTTTGAGGTTTGCTGTTTCGTTTGTTTGCTGTTTGAGTTAACCTCGATTCTTCACGGTTGAGAGATGACAGCAGTTCGTTCGACTAAGGCGAGTCAACTGGGCCTTCCAAGATCGGTAATATTTCCACTCGTCGCAGGCATTGTGGCCTCCATTGGATCTGCTGTCTTCCGCAGTACTGGCTTGCGGGGTGTCTGGGGCATTGGGGTCCGCTCACTGCAAACAGCCTTGAACCAAGAGTCAGAAGATGTCCATGCTGCTGAGCTGTGCTAAGCGAGGAGCTGATAGCTTTAGTATGCAAAGCTCATACCTGGCGCCAGTAATTCTAATGTGTCAGCATGCCAGTAATTCTATCCACGAGTGCTCAAAGATGTCAGCATGCCTCAGCATGTTGAGAAGAATGAAGAAGAGGGGTAGTAGAAGGCTAGACTAGCAGATAGACCGCATGTAGAAAATGCCAGTTTGACTTTGTGACATTTTCCCCTAGGCTGGTCATCTGCTGATTTTTGCTTTGGGCAAAATGGCAGCTTTCACCCTCAGCGTCTCCGCTCGATTCCCGGGAGATACCTTAGAGCCCGTGCTGATCTCGGGTGCCTTTCTGGGTGGAGCCATTGGAAAAATCATCCCTGCAGATCTCTCGGAGGACGCCATCTCCTCCTGTGAAATCTTTGGTGTCTTAGAAATGCACGAAGTCGAGTTTGGCAACGGTTCGCGATCTCGGTTTGCAAATGTAATGACTGTCAACTTGTGCAGGTATGGTGGGCCTCTTTGCCTCATGCTTCCGGTTTCCTCTAACTCCGGTGGTTTTTGCCATTGAGCTCACTGGGACGCGCACGTACCACTTGGTCTTGCCTGCGGCCTTGTCGTGCTTCACGGGCTTCCGGAATGCAAATTCTTCAAAAGGTGTTCTTTATTTCAGGTGTTCTTTATTTCCCTTCGTTTCTTTTGTTACTTTCTTTTGTTACTTTTTTTTTGCTTAGAATTTGCCATCTCAAAAGTAGGTGTTGCCTTTGCTTGGCATCAAGTCAAGGCTTACAAGTGTCCAACTACTTGTTTCCGCCCATTCTAGAACAAATCCTACACCAGGACCTTGAATGTTTACTTGACACCCGTTTCCATGTACCAGTATGTTTGCACTGAAAGACCCAAGAAATCCAGGACGACATTGACTTGGATGCTGTTGCAGCACTGGCAGAGGCCACCGAAGAGGAAGAAATGTATGCACGATCTGAGGAAGAAGTCTCCATGTCACATGAAAGTGAGCACAGTTTTCCACCTGTTCCAGATTCACCTGCGCTTTCAAACGATGGATCCCATCGAAAAGAGAAAGGCAGATTTCAGACGCTCATCGAAAAGCTGGAGGATACCATGATCGATGTATCCTTCTCGTCTAGTCAGATGAGAAATCCTCACGGTCCTCGTGGCCGCCGTTCGTCAATGTATTCTGCGGGCTCCCAACACAGCAAGGCCAGCAAAGCCAGTCGGAGCTCTTATCGCAATCATGAGGATCGCTATAGCCCACGAGCACGAAGATCTTCCAGAAGATCATCGACGCGATCCCGAACGTCTATACTCCGAAGGCACGGTACATCTATACTCCCGAGGTATCAGAAATCCGGATATAGGAGGGAGATGAAGGAAAAGAAGTGTAAATAGTGTTGTCCATCAGTTCATAATACTTTGATGCTTGTCTTTCAGCCCAGCCATGCCTTTTATTATCCACAGGTGTGTTTATTCATGTTTAGCACCGTTTCAAGTGTTTGCGTGTTTGTCTAGTTTTGTGCCGAAGAGAAACATCTAACGACCAAGCTTGGAAGCATCAAAGGTGTTCGTTGCTCATGGTGGGGCAGCTTCAACACCTTCCCCTCCACACAGAATGGTATGGAAGGGGCGGCAAGGAAGAAAAAAGAAAGAGGCCCTATTGAAGAGGTCTTTAATTAATTGGTCTTTGCCTTTTTGCCTGTTGTTTTCTTCTTTTTTGGCTACATGCCAGGTTCTCAGATCCGGTTGGGAATGAGGCGGGGCTCAACTTGACGCTCTGTCAGCTATGTTTGCTCTTTTGAAGTTACTGTTTCTCTCTAAACATCGACCGCAAAGTGTAGTACCTTAAATGTATTTTTTCTGAACAAAATCCCTGCAGGAACCTGAGAAGACTGAGACCATCGAAGTTGAATTCGACGGAAGGACATTCAGAATCTAGCAAAAGGATGAGGAAGAACGAATCTCGCGAGTTGGTGATGCTGCCTTGCATGCACAATGCAAAATACCTTTGAATAAATATTTTATTAGAGGTGAAAGTCCCAGCTTTCGCTTCAAAGTTTTACCGATACCCATGCACACGCCAAAGGCGTCAGCTCAGCAAAAGGCAGATTCAGGAGGTTTGAGTTGAACGTCGTTGCATGGTTTGCATCGTTGGCGTGTCCTTGGGGTGTTTTGAATTTGGAGCAGATCTGAGGCAGAACCGCCCTTGACGCGAGTGGCTCCAGAGGAGGCTGAGGAGGAGGAGCGGAGATTGATATCGACTTCTTGAAAAGAGAAACACAAGTGCATCGAATGAATTATCGAAGGACTAGATTCTTAAGGGTCAAAAAGCTGTTGAAAGTATCTTGCTTTTCAAGGACGCGGATCCACGAGGCTTGACCTTTTTTCAACAGTGCTGGAACCCCTCGTGCATTGATATTCTGAGGTGATTTGATGTCTTCTTTTTGTTTTACCAATCTGTGGATCCTCTTTTCCACATCCTCCAGGCGAAAGCTATAGTGTCTTCCAGGCTGAGAGTCACGGTTTGTCGCATCCGGGAGTCAAATCATGTCTCGAAAACACATGGAAACACGTGTGTTGAGACTCCGCAGAAGCAAAGCCAAGAGAGGTGAGAACATATGAAAACCATACCCTCAAGCACTTGGAGTCTCAGATCAGTTGCCCTCCAAATCCGTCCAAGTGTTGTTTCGCATGGAGGTCTAAAACGGCCTGTGGATTGAAACAAGGTGTCAGGCAAGGGGAATGTCCAGCTCTTCATGGTGCTTTTTAGTGCAAACCTGAAGGTCTATCTCACATACTGTCGGTTTTCAAGGAAGCCATTCAATCTTTTTTACTTTTGGTGCAAAAGGAGTCTCAGTTGGAAACCCTCCACCGGGACATACCGCCACAGGTCACACACGCCAAAACTCAGGCTGGAATGAGCTTGGACGATCAACGACGAATCGAGGAGAGCTTCCAAGTGCCAATCAGGAAATGCTTTTGGTCTGTAGTTCTAAGCCAGGGATAGCATCTTTTTGCACTTGAAGAATCGGGGAACCGGTTGAGAGTTGCCACCAGCATTGGTTTGATGAGGCGCCACCTTTACTTTGTTTAACAGTGTTGAAGCTCACTTCTTTCAACCAACCCACCAACCGCACGTCCAGGAGTTTCAACTCTACGACCAGAATACAGGAGAAATGCGTTGGGTTCCCAGCTGAAGTGACGGACACGCTGAAGTCATCAGAACGATTTAGAGCCATTCAAGTTTCTGAATTCAGCTATGATGTTCTTTTTCACTTTATTTCAGACAGCAACTCCAATGCACTGTAGGTAGGATATTGGAGTTATAGAACCTGTGTTCACAGGTCTTACTCAATTCCACTCTTTGGGCAGATCTCATGGCAAGCTCTCGAGGATACTACCGATGCAGGGATGCCGGAACCTGCCGGTATCCGGTGGTGCTGAGGCGAAATCACACATGAAGAGCAGGCCTGGACGTGCCCTTTCGCCATGCAGTCAAGCTACAAAATTTATTTGGCTTGAGTTTGACAGTTTTCGGAGATTCTCCGTGTTCCGCCCGGCTCTTTCAGGTAGCAAGACGGAAGAAACTCCTTTCCGACTGGGCACAAATTGTGCTTCTTGGATATCATCGAAATGTCTATATAAGAGACGCAGATCGCTGTAGACTCCTGCGACGGAAAGCTCAAAGTTGTTGGTTTTCTTCGTGGCTTTTCGTACCCGCTACTAAGGGCAGCCGAGAAGGACCCGTGCTGGTAGGAGCTGTCTTGGATGGGATGTTCCAAATCCTTGCTATATCATGCAATCTCGAAAGTGGCGTCCGATACACTTGTAACAGATGTGTACTATTGTCTATTGTGCACTCAGTTCCAGAGGAAGGGGAGTTGTGTTTGTAGATATTGTAGCACGAAACAGGGTTTGAGAATCCGAGGAGCAAATGGCGAAGAACCCTCGAAAGGCCTTTGCAGTACGGACGGCCAACTTGGAGGACCCGAGCAAACTGTCCGACGTCGCAAGTCTCTTCGAAATTTCGACACTCGTAGGGTAGACATATATTGCTTTGAGTTGGCTCCCAAGACCTTGACGTGTTTCACATCATTTCGATCACGCCTTTCACGCATTCTGTCCAGGACGCATTCTATCTCATTGCAGTCGCTTATGACTTGGACGGCAATGGCTTGTGCCTTTGGCAGCCATAGGAGACCCCCCAGTGCCAAAGTGGCCCGAGGCCGCCCGAGGCCTCAAAAAAAGGGTTGCTGAATTTCATCATGTCAGTTTGTCAAGAAAGCTGACAAATGAGGCTAGATGAGGACGAAGTTCTCTTGATTTTAGACCGATGCCAGCTGTTGGACGAGCGACTTGACAGCGATGTTAGTCACCGTATCACGCCCAATTGTCGATTGCGTCACCTGAGGACCCTGACGCCCACAAAAATTAGAAGCTTTTTCCGAACATGGTTGGCAGGCAGCACGACGTTTGGCTTTGATGTCTCTTGTGCATTTTCGATTAGCGACTCGACTTGAGGGCGAAACCGACGCAGGCTGCAATACCATCATTGGGGAAAATATGGGCGCGGAGGAGATTGACTCTTGGAGATTGACAGCGGTTTTGGCGGTTTTGCGGCTTCGACGATGTGTTTTCCTCTCAAAACCACAACTTGTCGAAGAAGCAACAACGCCACGAATTGTTTGCCTCTACCGTAGCCGGTAGTTGACCCCAGGCGAGCAGTGACGGTAGTGACGGTAGTGGGTATGTTGAAGCTGAACTCGTGAGCCAAGGAAGATGGAATTGGCTATGAAGAGCAACTTGAATGCACGCGAAGCAATTTGCTTCATGTTTTTGCTATTGTGATACACATATATAGTTATATGATATATGATGTATATGTGGGTTTTCGTGTGTCCGTTTGCGAGAGGGTGAGTCAGGTTCTTGTCGCTGATTTCTTGGATTGCAGACATGAAGGCCGGCTTTGCAAAGCGAAGGCCGAAGGTGCAGGTCTAAAGGGTTCGATTCGGGGGGAAGGGCTGGCGAGAAACGGCAGGGTATTCCTCTAGCACGCTGCAGAGCACGTGTGCAGCGCCTGTCTCACAAGTCGCTCGGCGAGCATCACGAAACACAAGTGACGGAGTTGTTTGTTTGCCCAGTCGGTTTCATTCCCTTTGACTGTTTTTATGTTTCATTCTTCTATAGGTTCTAGAAAAAACACCTTGGGATGAGGGTGAGCGCAGTGGAATCAGACGAGATCAGAAGTCAAATTCCCGATGTGAGAAATCGTAGAGTGATTGTATTCCAAGCACCTGTTGGCGTGTCTAAGCAGGCAAGTCGCCTCTTTGTTTTTCTCTCAAGGATGGTGGATACTCAAAGCTCTGTGAGGAGAAGGTGTTTGGGATTGGTGTCATGCGAGTACACCATTATTGCTGGCGCGTCTTTGCTGCCGTTTGAAGATTCCTGAAAACGGATCCGAGAAGACACCATGAGGGAAGCAGATCGAAAGTGTAGGGCCTCCTCATTTTAAGACATCCATTTGAAACCAAAAAAAGGCTTAGTTACATGTCCAGGCTGGCGCTGCTCTTTGATGGGTTTCCTGGCAGAAAAGCAAAAGGCCAAAAGGAGTGGTGCCAGCATCAAAATATTGATCCGTGGTTTAAAATTAATGACACAACTACTCCAAGTTTATGAGCATGTGTTTTGAGATGCTTGAGGTTCTGCAAGAGAGAAGCCGAGTGGATGGGTGCGTCTCTTGACACCAAATCACCTGCGATCTTGAGGGAAGACGGGAGTAGTCCAGAAACCGTGATTAGAAAAGGTTTGGCGGAGATTAACAACAACACCACCACCACCGCACCACGACACCACGACACCAGCACCACCAGCACCAGCACGCAGGCAGGCAGCCAGCCAGCCAGCCAGCCCAGCCAGCAGCAGTAGCAGCATAGGTTTGATTGTTTGTGTTATCATGATGGTAAGGTTATCAATGATGTATATTGATGTATCGATTTCGGTTTAAAGGCATCGTGCAGCGAAAGTTGCGCAAGTACACAGGAACACAGAAACACGACATGTCAGTGCTGGGAGAGATGTTCATCGAAGTTCGCACCACCACGAACGTGTCCAAGTGATTGCTTTTGTTTGTGTTTATGTGGGTCAGCACTAAGGTATGAGTTCACAAGCCTATGTCACGCACCTTTGCAGCATGTGGTGTTTCAGTGTTTCATCGCGGTTTCTTCAAGCGCCAAGACCACCAACCTCTACGTCCCTGAAGTCTTCTCTGCGGGAGATGCCTTCAAGGTCTCGCGACATGGAACTGAGATGTGTTAACACCGGACAGACATCTTAACATGTCGCGACATGGGATTCGCGACATCGGTAGACCTTCTTTCTTCCGTCGCGGTGCCAGATCTTCTACGAGACTCCTGGCCTGGTCAATCAGAGAATGGCATCACAGCTGCAGTTTCACGGTATTTCTGAGCCACCATGTTGAAATGTGAATGTACGCCAACAAAGTTATGAGTTGGCAGCCTGTTTTTAGTTGGCAACCTGTTTTGAGCACACCTGAATTCTTGGCACCTGAATTTGAGGTTTGAAAGTGTTTCAAGTTGCCTCCATTTCTAGGACTTTGGTGGCTTCATGCATGCTATTTGCGAAGTTGGACTTTTGTCCCTTGACTGAACCTGCATGCAGACACGCTCAAGCATACGCTCAAGCAGCGTGTTGGCGGGTGAAACCGAGGTTTGGAAAGAATCAGAAGGAGGCAGGTGAAATGTTCGCGGCCGCTGTTGGACACCTGGCGTGCAAGGGGTTTTGCATTTGCTTTTTGGAATAACGGAAGCTGAGAGCAGCTGAGTATCTTTTTTTTGGAGAATCCGTTGTCCTCGACATTTTTGAGATGAAAATGATTGAAAATGTAGTTTCCCAGTGGTACATAGGTGCGTGGTTTCATCCATGTATGAAGGGGTACACTGAGTCTTTGAGCGATTGAGTAGAACTTAAGTTGCAGTACGTTGAGCTTCAACCTGCCCCACTACCTGCCAACGACCAAAACGCTAGACAGTGCTAGTTGCCGCTGAGGACGAATGGACACAGATCAGGAGCAAGCCAGTACAAGAGTACAAGTTGCATTGCAGGGGCATCAATGCCTGCATGATTTGCAACGGTTGAGGCAAAATTGGATGGAATAGGGCACCCACGATGTATTTTTGTGAAAATGGAACTGAAGTCTCTTTGATGATGTTGTTCACAACCTCTTGCGTTGCAGGAGACGATCCGACGAGTGAAGCTTCGGATTAAACAGGCGTGGCCAGGTTCAACCTCGTTTTTCAAAAGACGTGCTGAAAAAACGTTTCGAAAAACATCTACCCACCCCGAACTGAGCGGATTCAAGCTACTAGTAACAAGTGCCTCCCTAGTAGTAACAAGTGCCTTACTACTAGTAACAAGAAGCTAGTAGAAACAAGTGCCTTACTAGTAGTAACAAAAAGCTCTTTATTTTAATATGTTCGAACTCTTTGTTTTCTCGGTTCGCAACGTCGAAGCGGGCTTATAGGCGGCGTCCAATCATGGCGAAAATGGCCAGTGACCCAGACCGAAGGAGGTCAGATGGGAAAGATAGAGCAGATGCAGAGATAAACCGAAGGAGGTCACTAGTCACTAGTGATTACTGTATCAATGTAACATGTGTGCATGCAACATAGACCTAGCTTGCCTTGCTTACAGGATCCGATGTTGGTCTAGACTTTTGAGTTAGTCAGAAGTGATCGAAACAAACTTCCGAACGGTCTGTTCGCAGTGCAGTCTAGCCGTCTAGCCTTGGTCACAGATTGATGATTTAAGTTGCAATGTGCTTCTAGGATGGCGAGAATTCTTCCACGAGTGTGACCTGGAGCCAAGCTGGGGCATTGAAAAGCACCGAGGTTGCCAATCTCAAACCTGTTCTTGAGCGCCTGTGGCAGGACCAGTCTGGCTACATGGACATTGATGAGCCACTGGGCCTTTCTTTGGGACCAAATAACATCATAGCGCCTGTGTATTGCAGCGCTTTCGACAGGTTCTTTGACATGTGTCGCCACAAGTTGAAAATGGAAGTCCAGAGCTCAGAGCAGATCGGCGGATCGGCGGATCGGGTGAGCACTCGAGTTCGTTCCAGGATCGAAAGAGCCACTTGCAGCTGCTTTTTGAGAGACTAGATGAGGAGAACGGAGATGGTTTGACTCACTCCGGTGTTACAAGATTTGTTCCCTTTCAGGATGATTCTGGGGAGCTCTCGATCGACGAAATGATCGCATTCATAGAATCTTGATGAATCTTGACGAGAGGAATCTGAATGAAATCCCTGTATGTAGGAACCAGAAGTTTTACGTTGTGTTTGACAGTGAAGCCTCTCTTCAAGCTGGCTTTGCTTGCTCGCAGCAACTCTGCTTGTAGAGGTTTTGAAAGCAGTTTTGGTGCTCGCCCAAGCTGAGCACTGCAAACTGCAAGATGTCCACTTGCGTTCTGCACAGTTGAGTTTGGCCAAAGGAAGTTCTTGCAATCTTAAATCCAGACTTGGACGAACCGGAAATGTCGTGCCGTGATCTGCAAATGGATTGGAATTTTGGCTGGGACTGCAAAGCAAGTCTTCGGCAAGCCGTGGAATGGAGAGATGTCAGAGCCACTTGATACTGATCAGGTGTTACAGAAAACATCAGAAAACATATAGCCGTTTTTTTGAACATTCATGGATTGGATCACTTGGCAATTCCGCCAAAGGCAGGAACTGAAGCCTCTCGAGAGGCTAAGCCAAGCTTGCCTCCGGTTTGCAAAGGTGGAAAATAGCGCTCCTCTTTTAGCCCAAATCAGCACCACAGCCTGGTGTGAAAGCTTTGCAACTAACCGAACCGGAAACTGTGAAAGACCCGGAAGGTTTCGCTCAGCTTGGAGCAAGCTAACGCGGAAACCCGACACACGATGAAACTAAAAGCACAGCGTTCTGTGGTGCAACACGGTGCAACATGGTCCAGATCTTGTGTCGCATGGAAAGCTGGACGATCAAATCGAACGCACTCGGCAGGTCAACGGCACTTTGAGCAAAGTGGCACAGGCGAACGGTTCTTGTTGTCCTCAAGGAATGACGCCAACGCAGTCCCCGCTCTGAGAAGATGGAAACACCATCAAATAAAGCACATGCTTCGCCTGTGGTGGAATGAGACGTCGTTCAACTTTTTTACACCCGGTGTCGGTGTTCATGCGGTGAAGACAGGCATGTTTGGACACTTGCTTTTCATCTTTGGCAGCGTTGAAGACTCACAGTTTCGCTCCTTGTTGGCGATGGTGAAAGCGATAGTGCTTCTCATGACCAAGAAAGCTTGTTTGCAGATCCTGGAGCGCTCTACGGGTGTTAGTGCAGATGGTTTATCAGGAGATGCGGCAGAACCGAAACAACTCAAAGGTCCAAAGGACTAAACGTTGATATTTGTAGATGAGACTGGGAGGACTCGAGTCTTTGAAAGTCATCATACTGGCCAGCGTCCCAGAGCCATCCGACCTTGCAGCCAGGAGTAGGTTCCGCTAAATGTGTCTTTGGATCGACGTTTATCTTTTGGGTTGCCCCCTTGCAGGTGAGCGCATTGAGGAGAGAGCTCATATCTCAGTGCTGTTTGCATATCAAGCGATGCAGTGCAGTGCTTTCACGCAATTTCCAAAGAAACAAGATAATGTATCCGTTGGACATGGTTTGAGTAGGCCCTTGAGTGGCAAGCAGCTTATTAAAAAGAGTCATCTGCACCATGAGGCTCGGAGTCAACTTGGCAGCAGGCAGGAGATGTGAACACGAAGTGCGGAACAAAATGACATACAGATCCACAATGATCCATATGCATAGGTGACGTGCTGCAGTGCTCCAGCATTAGCGACTTGGAGGCCCTAGTGGAGGTGCAAGCTGCTTTTGATGTGAGAGGTTTGTTAGAACCGCCATGTGATATATTGACGGTTTTTAATATATGGATCACTGGAAAGCCATCGGAGGCAGCAGCTGCAGCACCAAGGCTTAGGGTCTCAGCCCGTTGCGCACGACGGGTCTCACGGCCTCGCGGGTCGACCGTGTCAAGAAGGGCTGAAAACGTCTACCGAGGCCGACCGAAAACGTACCACGCGAAGGCCGAAGGGATCGTGTTCGAGCAGTCCGAGCTTGCTTCGAGAGGTGTTTGCCAACCCGAAAAATTGCAAAATGGATTGCATGACTACCGACAGAAAGTAAGCCGTGCAGGTCAAAACTCCATTGGACAATACCCGATCTACGCCATCCCACGCTTTTGGAAGGCTGGTAGATTTGGCATACTTTTCTTACTTGCCCGAACCGAAGCACAACATTGACAGAAGACAGATTTGCCCACCAAAGGGAACAGAACAGACGTGAGAAGAATTGCTAAAGAAATTTGTAGACCACTTGTTGCAACTTTGTACTTGTTGTAAGAGCAAGGACGCTACTAGGGGCTCCTGGCATCGCTACTAGGAGCAAGGACGCTACTACTTTGTATTTGTTCTTCATGCGTAGACCAAGTTTAACTCGAAGAGTCTGAAAGGCACCTGTCGGTTGGTTGATCAGCCTCCACGAGATACCGGACGAGACTTCCATGCGTGACCTTCACAGACGATCTCAACTTCTCAAACGATATGCTTTCAACTTCACATTTCATCGCTTTATGTATCTTTATATGCTTTTCAAGGATTTGCTTCACAATTGATCTTTGGCTCGGTTTGTCTTGTTTTCAGAAGGAATAAAAGCACCAGGAGTTGAATTGCAGCTGGTTTGCACGAAAAATCACACTCGCGGTCTCGCCAAAAAGGCACAACGTTCGAAGGAACGAACCAAAGGTCACAGCATTTGCAAGACCAAAACGCACAAAAAGCATCTGCACGCTTTGGAACAAACACTCGAGTCTCCGTTCGAACACAACCAGAGGCGAGGACTTGTCGGCGTCGCCATTGTTCCAGCTTACAGCCGGCAAACGATGGCAAAAGCTTGTTTGCAAGCACTCGAACAAGAATGTTGCTCTAAAATAGTTAGGACAAAACAGGTTGCATCGTCTCCCATTCTGGTGGCGCTGGACTCTAGGACATGCTAGGATCTAGGTGCCTTGCAAGGATGGTGGCGAAAGGGAAAAATGGGAAAATAAGGGGTCATGAGATGAAACGAAATTACGAATGAGAGAACTTGAGGTATTGCACTAATGGATTTATAGTTCCACTGGGCTGTGCCCACCTCAGTTCGATTTCAGGTATTGCTTGCCGAGCACTGGTGCGGCGACATGTGGGCCTGCGGGTCGAGCTCGGATGGCGTGAATACGCAACATGCAAATTGGCGCTTCCGCTGCTTAGGCAGTTCCTTACCGCACCGCTGGTGATGAAGTCACTGCCAGCCTTTGCAGGAACCTCAAAGGCCGAAGGCGGTGTCCGGCGAAGGCGGGAAGGCAATGCATTGCATGCTGATCCGAGGTCTCAACGCCGTCCAGTCGCTTCTGGTCCTCCGAGCACTGATTGGTGTTGCAGAGGCCCACATTTAATTTACATTGCACTGCCTGCACTGCCGGCGTGGCCGTTAGGCTGGATCTAGGCCGTTGCTGGACTCAGCAGCTGCCGCAGGACTGTTGGATGCATGGCCGGGGCACCAGTTTTCAATTTGTTTGTCTATTTGTTTTTCGGTTCTGAGACATGAATGGACCGTTGTCGGACACGAAAAAAGGACAGTCGCTTTTTCAGAATCGTGACTAGTGGACAAGCCTCGAGAACACGAGAAGCAAAGTGTTCTCCAAGGCCTCGGGTAGCTTCGTCGCCCGCTTCTGGCGGTTGGCCAATGTGCGAAGCTGGAGGGCTGGGATCTCGGATCGGTGTTTGCTGCGTGTGGCACTGCATATGCCGTTTGTATCCATTTGTATGTGTTTTTTTGCTTTGTTGATAAGGGCAGAAGAGGCGCATTTGGCCGAAGTGTCGTGTCGTCGTTGGCAAGAGATTCAGAAATATATTGTAATATAGATGAAAGACTAGGAACGATCTCTTCCACATCAGTGGAGGCACAGCGCGGCAAAGCTTGTAATTTTGCGCCTTCAGAACTTGCTTGCACCAAGAGATATGTTTAATGTTTGTGATATGATTGCGTGCACATGTGTGTGTGTGTGTGTGTCACACTCTGTTTCCAAGAGTTTTCCACAAGCAGGGGCGTCAGGCTCGACACACCTACCTGATACAACGAAGCTATGGTGTGTCGAGGGAAGTGAGAGCTGATCACTCTCATGTACCTGCGACCAACACATTGACTCCACTGGTTCCCCTCGGCCGCTGTTTT